AAGAAATTGCACATGCAATGGATCTGAATAATAATCTATGATTGTTCTATGGCATACGAGAAATCACGCATAGACAATCACTTGATCACCAACCAAGAGACTACTCTTGTTTTGCTATCGAGTATGCCACTACTAATATTAGTTCTTCATGACTATCTATGGCAGGCGAGAAATCATGCACATATAGAGATAATCAAAACCCTTACATGGCAAGAACTTGCAGTCAACAATATGACCCATAGCAAGGGTGAAGTGGGATTATCAAAGCACTTCATTCTTAATTTGATGTGTTCTTATAAACATAGTTTGTATCGCTAGGTGACTTGCTTTTGCTACAACTCCAATAAGTGGCAAAGTGCAACCACAAATCGGGAAGTAGTATAGTGATGTAAAGTCTTGTTTTGTCAACCCAGAGTGCTAGTTGTACTTGTACTCAGTGAAATTACTATTATGTAGGAAATTTTTTGTGGTAAAGTTCATTAAATCAATGAAAATCAGACAAGCAATTTAATTCAACTTTAACGGGGAAAACTCCCTCAGGTATGTTTCCCCCTAGTTATTAGTTAGGTCGATATTGGTTACTACGTAGTTTGTTTCACTTGATACTTTTACCGCGGAGAATTGGAAACTAGTTTGGAATCTCGACTAAAGCATTTCAAACCCTCGTGATTAAACTACCCAGAGGGAGATTATCCTCAACCAGAATAGAATATCAAGACAATATGCTAAAGAATCCCCCCCTATTGGATGGAAATCCAATACAAAGCAGTGAATCAATTCACTATTAGCGCAATCGATTCACTACCACCAATTGAAGGAACTCTATCAACCTAATCAGATATTATCTCTCATAGGTTAAGGTAATAATTGAAGAATTTGATCAAGATTCAAAGAACATGTGGTAACCTTCAATAAGATAAATAATATCAAGTTTTACAAATCAAATATTAATCACAATCGACCATAACACACAGATCTAGAATTCTACATACTCAAATGATGGAGTGGATTACTCCATGATCTAGAAAGGAAAGCCATGGATGAAGTGAAAGCTCAAACGGAAAGTAAACTGTCAAATTTTATTGAAAGACAAACAAATGAGTTCAAAATACTGTCCCTTTTTCCTCGCAGATAGGGATGGCAATGGGTCGGGTTGGGGCGAGTTTTGTCAAACCCAAACACATGGGTTTATCCACCAAAAAAACCAACCCGTTGGGTTTGAAAAACTCAAACCCAACCCGCCGGGTATCCGCGGGTTCATGGGTACCCCTGGGTTTTTGTGGTAAAAATTTTACAATAACAAGTTTCTTTCACAATAAAAGTTTAACATCAATTTTCTCATACAAATTAATCATACAAAAAAACATCAATCTAGAGCATACAAGCAAACCGCAAATGATCAATACAAATTGTTCAAAATTAAAGATAAACATCTATAAACAATAAGATTAATTGAAAGCTTCTTCCTTGTCAACTAAGTTTCTTCACTCTCCACTTCATAATATCAACTTCATTCTAAACAATTAGAAAGAACAAATTATACAAGTCTCCACAAATATAAAGAATATTAATTGTTTAAGGAAGATATATTATTTAGAATATTCAATATACCGGGAAAGTAATTATATGTGTGTGAGCGAGTATCCATGGGGCGGGTTTACTTAAACCAAAATCCAACCCGACCCGGTGAATAGTGTAGCGGGTTTAAACCCGAATCCGACCCAAAACCCGTCAACACGGATTTTACCCGCGTTGACCGGGTTGAGTCGGGTGGGTACCCGTGGGTTCGGGTTTTGTTGCCATCCCTACTCGTAGACACCTCTCACCACCAAACCAAGACCCCTCTATCCCACATTCCTATAATTTAGCAGCAACTAACAGAACTCTCTAACGTAAACATTGACCAAGTAAACTAAAACTATATGGACTCAAAAACTACCTAACAATTGTAAGGAATCCTAACTTCAATGACAGATTCAAATGACACACAAATTCCAGCCCAACAACTACTTAGACCCAACATTATCCTCCCCCTGAACTAAAGCCCGGTAATTGCTTCAGTTCACTTCCACAATATCTTCATTTTCAGCAACATCAGATCACCACGAAGAACTTCAGCAACAATTTAACAAATAAAAATGACAATAACACTTCAATGAATTGCAGCAGTTCAACAACCCCAACTCACCATGAATACTTTCAGAAAACTCTCCAGTCCCATTGTTATTTCTTTATAGAACTGAAATATTTGGAAACTTGCGTGCTGAACAAATTCTGGTGCCTCCAACCATACATCCTTTCCAGTCTTTCCCTTCTCAACCATATGAATTTCACAGAACATTTAGTTGCTGCTACAAAATCTGATGCTCTTCGTGTTGCTACAATCAATAGCATAGTCACCAATACCACATACTATCAATCCTTCCCTTTTGACTATGTTTTTCTAACAAATCACATAGTCCTGAGTTTCCTTCAAGAACTTCAGTATTCTTTTTGCAATCCATTGGTATTGACTTGTAATGTTCTCCATATGTCTGATTAGCAAGCATAATAAATTTCCTATCCATTGTTTGTACCGAGTAGGTCTCAACTTCATTATTTCAAAACAACAGTCTTGACACGCTTCCAGTTCCACCACTAACTCATGTATGTGCACAACCACGTGACCATCGATTGCTAACAGTTCAAACGTATCTGCCTTCAATACTTCGTTTATCACATCAGCTTCATCATCTTCTTCCTCTTCACCTTATCTCGGCTTCCCTTGTTGTTTTCCTTGGACCAAGCAGAGTTGGTTTCTTCCATCATACCATTTCTCACTTGTCATTTGTTCACAATCTTCATATCTCCCAAACCAGCTGCTTCTATGCTCATTGTGAGCAACTTGTGACCAAGTTGGAATACCTTCACAAATCACAACCATCCTTTCTCTCCCATTTGTTGCTCACCAATTATTACGACTTGCTAGCCCAAATATCATGAACAGGTGTTTGTGATCATGTGCCTGTGAAACATATGCTCATCCTTCTAGTACATCTTGAACAAAGGCAACACATGTGATTGGATAGGATGATTTTGAAAGTTGAACTTCAGTGACAACACCATAATGTCGTGACTCTGCTCTCTTCCCTCGTTCATCAAACACTTCCTGAGAAAACTCATTATACCCTTCCTTCAATTGTCTATCTCTAATAGCATAATACACCTCATCTTCTTTCTTCAACCCCCAAGAGCCTTAAAAATAACCAATGATATTGTGGTTAGCCAAACCAACCAATCTTCTTCTCTAATGACAAGCAAAATAGTCATTGGCTGCTTCTTGTAAACCCCGTGTAACTCCTTTTGTATCTTGAAATGCATAATCATTCAAGTAACTTTTATGAGGCAATGGAATAACGATATAGTTACTCTATGATTTCAAATATTTATTGGATACAAGAATTAATTGTAGTCAGTAAGAAGCTAATTAGTGAAGTCCATCTCAATGTTAAAAACATGTAACAAAGTCAACTTAAGAAAGATTAGAGATACAACATAAATAAAAGTTGAAAATAATGTGATTGAAAATATGAGCAGGGAGAATAAGCATTTCTCTTATGTGATCATGATTGAGAGCCCAATAAGCCTACTTTCTATGAGTTTGTGGTCTCAAGAGGAGAGACACAAGTAACCCGTAAGTGATACACTTCTAGTCTGTATAAGTAACATCAGTTTAGTGAGGTAAAAACGTTACTCCTAGTGGATGAACCCAATAAAACACTCATTTATGATTTGATATAATTTTTTTGGAGCGATGATATATGGTATTGAAAGTAAAGCACTTACATACCAAATGATGGAAGTAAGATATACTGGGTCTATTGCCTTGACCACAACTCCTAAGGGCTTTCATATACTCCATCATTAATTAGTATTACCAAGAAGGAGATTCCTTATAGAAAGCCACTACATAACCCTTCTATCTCCTTGATAACAACCATACGCATCACGACTACTACCATCTATTACTGTGAGACACTTGGAGTAGTGAATTCCATCCTAGCTTGTTCTATAATGGATTAATAATGTGTTATGCACTCAATGTGAACCAAACATGAGCAATTCTACCCTGAAGAGTTTCATACTTTTACCTTGAATTTATGGTCAAGTTAAAAGGATCGATCAAACAAAACTACGGGAGCAATCTATTACTCTTATTATACCTAGTAGTGCATGTTTGGAAGCGTTGAATGCCCCCTACATCCAATAGTTCATTGTTGTACTTCACATCACTATGAATTCCATTTTACGAATTGCCAAGCTACAAATTCAGGCGAATTCAACTTATATGAATGAATCGATTTGATTGAACTTGAGCTTGTGAAGCATTTCTCAACAGTTGACTACACATAATAGGCCATGAAAAGCATAGTAGAGACAATGTGCAACTTGAGCTCTTTTATATTCCACATTCGAATACCCATTTCTAGTCCAAATTTCACGATTCTTGACCCAATCGTTCCCTTAAGAACCCTAGAATAGTTGGAAACAGAAAAAAACTTGGGGTTACCTACCAACGTTGGCCCAAAATATCCCAAAACCGTGACAGGCTCACAAAGAACCCTAGTTTCCACCCATTGTGCTTCCATTCCAAATTTCTCCCAATCCCCTTACTCAACCAACTCGGTTAAGCACTTGTTAGAAAGCTCACATCCTAATCTACAAAACCCTCCAAATTTCAAAAGAATTGGTTGAGGGAAACTCAATTTAAGCTTCTTTCAAATCGACCCAAAAACACACCCCCCCTAAAACTAACCTCCTCTTTCTGATCCAATTTTCCCCCTCGCTCCAAGCCTTCAATCCGCGACTTCCCCAAACTTCCCATCTCCTGCCGTCAACTGCGACATCATCTGACGGCCCATGTTTAAATATTCCAGACCCCTGTCGATCCGCGTCATCTTCCTTCGACCAATCAGGTTCCAGCATTTACCTCTATAAATTCCTCTCTCTCCATGCCGTTTGCATCACATTCAGAGATCTCTCGCTCCACTAATCAGATAATATCCTGTTCTCCTTCTCCCGTACTCTTTTGTCCCCCACCTTGTTTCCTCCTTTTCCCTCAACAATGGCTGAAACCGAACCTGCCGTCGTTGCCGCTGTACCTGCCGCCGAGGCCAAATCGAAGGCGAAGAAGCCGGCCGTGAAGAAGCCCAGAGCGGCTCGGAACTACCCGTCCTTCGAAGAGGTAATTAAGTTTCCTAATCCGTCTCTTGTGCTTCCTAATCCTCTGATCGGGAATCGTTCGATTGGATCTGATCGGAACCGGCGTTTATCTTTTTGGTGCGTGTGCAGATGATCAGCGATGCGATTGTGGCTCTGAAAGAGAGGACTGGATCTAGCCAGATCGCAATCACTAAGTACATCGAGGACAAGCACAAGAATCTGCCTCCCAATTTTAGAAAGATGCTGCTGTTTCAATTGAAGAGGCTGGTCGCCGCGGAGAAGCTTGTCAAAGTGAAGGCCTCGTTCAAGCTCCCTTCTGGTCGCTCCGCTTCGCCCCCCCTTGCCGCTGCAGTTGCGAAGAAACCTGCCGCCGCTGCCGCAAAGCCTAAAGCCGCAGCAGCGAAGCCAAAAGCCGCTACCACCAAGGTTGCGGTGAAGCCGAAGGCGAAAACCGCAGCCAAGCCGAAGCCTAAAGCCGCCGCGAAGCCCACCGCAGCCGCAGCTAAGCCAGCAGCGAAGGTGCAACCAAAGAGGAAGGCAACGGCGCCCGCGGCGAAGCCGGTTGCGAAGAAGGCGAAATTAGCCAAGGCAGTCTCTCCAGGGAAGAAGAAGGCCGCACCGAAGCCGAAGAAGGCAGCGCCGAAGCCGAAGAGCGTGAAATCTCCGATTAAGAAAGCTGCTGGCACAAAGAGGACTAGGAAGTGAAGAATCGTTTAGTAGTATTATTATGTTATAAGTGGATGAAAGTAGCTATCTCTGCAACAGTAGGATAAATTAGGGATTGTAAATTGAGGGTTTGTTTTCTTTTTAATCACTTGATTGTAATCCATGAGTGCTTTGTTACTGTTTTCTAGACTGGTTCGTTTTTTCTTTCGTCTCCCTCTGTCAACCCGGAATCTGTTCCTTGTAACTTGTAATCGACGAAGAATTTCTCTAGATTAATCCGTGTGGTAGTATTGACCGTCAATTCTCTTATTTTGACCTAGGGTCAAATTCAAATTTGGTTTGGTCTTTCTTGATATTTCAATTCGTTGACTGGCTTTTGAAGTTGGGCCTACGTTGATTAATGGTTTTGGGTGGGCCTGCTAATTGAGCCCAACCGAATGCTATGGCTATGAGACCACCAAATGGTTTATGGGCCAGTTTGTTCTGAAAAGCGCGCACGACGGTTTTGAACTCGCAAAGAAAGGAAAAAAGAATAAAGTCGAATGAATTATTCTGTCACTTAAGAAATAACTAACAACAACCAGAATATGAACAGATGAGATAAGAACACTATTATTTATTTTCCTTGTGTTATGTTTATGTGCTGAATCGAATTGTGACACGGAGTCCAAAAACGCATTGTCGATCACAGAAATTACGTATGGCTTTCATCTTCGGGAAATCACCATAAGTTTCCTGACAATGCTAGGTTTCATGTTCAGCTTCTCAAGTGCATCAATGAAGGTACCATGACATATTTAAAACAACAAATCATAACTTTGAGAGAAGCCACACACACCCAAAGGAGCCACTAAACTAACTTAGAAGGTTAGTTTGGATGCAACAATTTAAGGGTTAATTGCATTGTTGGTCACTGAGATTACAAAAAACATTCATGTTTGGTCACTCGAAATATTTAATTCCATTCGTGGTCCCTAACATTAGTTAAACGTTTCAACTTTAGTCACTCTCCGTTACCTTCCGTTAGTCTACGTTAACGGCGTCAATTTTTCGCTAACGTGGCTAATAGAACAGCCTACTCAGCCAATTTAAACAAAAAAAGAAAAAAAAAAATCTAATCCGCTACATCATAATAAACCTGCCATGTCATAAAACCTCAATTAGCCAACCCAAATTAAACCAATCAAAATTTATATCGACCAGCCCGATAGTCTCAGCCCACGACCCATTGCCACAAACACTTACGCTACCCATTTCCCCTCTTTCTGCCTCCTCTCTGACCCGCCGCCGCTCCTCCACAACCAAGCGCAATTGAACTTCCTATCCTCCGAACAATTCACTTTCCCCCGCCATCCCGATGATAACGCTAAGCTCCGACTCCCAATCAAAACCCTATCCCTCGTCGCCGGCTTCACCATCTTCTTTCTCGTCTTCACAATCCTCGCAATCGGCTCCGTCAGTCACAACGTCCTTCATGGATTCTACGGCCAACCCGTCAAGCTCGTCTCCGCCATCAAATCCTGGTTCTATTCCTTGTTCCGTCGGTTTGTCACTAGGGATGGCAATTTTGCCCATACCCATGGGTATTTTACTATCCAACCCAATTGGGTTGGGTATGAAATCCAAATATATGGATATGGGTAAAGTTTGATGGGTTTGTACCCATACCCATTTACTTTGGGTTGGGTTGGGTTTATAACAAATGGATTTGGGTTTGTACCCATGCCCAAATACAAATTACAGTTTGGTACCTAAACTTAATAGATATGCATATTTAGTACCTAAATTTAATTTTTTTTTGCATATAAGTCCTCAAAATATCGATGGAAAATTACATTTTGGTACCTAAATTTTTTTGGTCTTACATTTTGGTACCTAAAATTTTCAAGTTTTACAAATAAGTCCAATTTTTGCATGTGTAGTTAAAACACCCTCAAGTAAATGGATATCCATATCCAACCCATACCCATTTAGATAATATCCATATCTAACCCAAACCCATATACAAACCCCAAACCCATACACACATCACCCAAACCCTACCCATAATAAATGGGTCTACTTGGGTTTGGGCAAAATTACCCATGGGTGGGTAAATTGCCATCCCTATTTGTCACCCACATTGTCATAAAGCTTTTCCTCTCCCTGGTGGCGCTTATTTTCCTCAACTCTCATCGACAACGTCACTGGCCGCCACATCTCGTCCCTATTAAGGAAGGAGGTTGACACTGGTCAACCCAGCTGTGATGCAGCAATGGTTGGAGGAAGCTCTGCTTCAGTGCAAAACGTGAAGAAGAAGAAGATTGAAGAAGCAGAGCTAAACAACAGCGTACAAAGGAAGAACAACTGAAGTGCTGCGTTTCAACTAGTCGTTTGAGTAGATATTCAAGTTTTACTGTATAGTTATACGTGTCTCTTTGTAAATGGCTAGATTAGATGTTAGTTAGAATTAGCCATTAACAGTGATTAGCTACTCTGTATATAAGCTTATCTGATTCAATGGAAAAGCTCATCGAGCAAATTCCCCCCAATCTGACCATTTCTTCTTATGGTATCAGAGCCTGGTTGCTCTCCATTTTGCTAGGGTTTTGTCTTGTCGTTTTTTTCCTGTGTCTTCTACTTCTCTTCCTTCCTTCGTCTGAGACATGGGTGACACAAGTGAAGACTCCAGCAAGGATGATTCATCCAAGTCTAGGTCGAGCAAGGTCATTGCGTATGAAGACCTATACCTAAATCCGTACTATCTTCCGCCACAAGATGGATCTATTTCCACCATCGTGTCAGTAAAGCTTGTCGACGGAACTACCACACATGGAGCCAAATGATGCTGGTCGCTCTGGGGACTAAGAACAAAATGGGTTTCGTTGATGGAACCATCCCCCAACCAGAGGTAACAGATTCTATCTATCAGTCTTGGCTTCGATGTAATGGGACTATCCGCTGCTGGATTTACAACTCTCTATCTAAAGATATTGCTAACAGTGTGATGAGATTGGAAAGTGCAAAGGCTGTGTGGGATAATCTGAGAATCAGGTTTAGTCAGGAAGACAATATTAGGGTTTTTGATTTGAAAACCCAGTTGGCTAAGTGTAATCAGGGAGAACAGTTAGTAAATCAATACTTCACTGCTGTCAGCCTGTCAATGTTTTGTGGGAAGAACTTAAGAAATATAGGTCTATTCTCGTTTGTCCCTGTAATGGTCCTTATGAAACTCTAAAGAGGTACCATGACAATGATTTTGTGACAAGTTTATGCAAGGACTGAACCCCATTTACCAGTCAGCCAGAACCAGTGGCGGAGGGAGAGGGTAACGGGTGGGTCCCGGGACCCACCCTGGTTCGGGAAGAAAATGGTTAAATTAGCTACGATAATAAATTGATATAAAAAATTAGGTCACGTTTAATTGACAATAGTAGTTTTGTGTTAGAATCTAGGCAACCTTATTTCTTAAGCATACGATATATATATTTGTGCAAACTTCAATTTCGTATAAGTTGATTTTCTTATGAGGGAGCATGCTAGTAAATGGTATCATATATTGTTGATATGACTTGAATCGGACTATCAGCCGCTACCACTGGTAATCAGGGGTCTCGCTGCCCGGTCAGCGAGTGGGGTCCAGGGGCAACGCCCCCGGCCCACGGTGTATGGGCTCAATGTTATTTGGGTTTGGGTTCTGGGCCTGGTCTGTAACCGTTTCCTTTGCCAGATTGGATTAGGTTTAAACCCACATGTAGAAGTACTATAAATACTTCTCATACTCCTCTGTAATCTGTAATCTCCTCGATATAGTGAAACTGGCTCTCTCGCGCCCGTGGACTAGCTAACACACATCGTGTTAGTGAACCACGTAAAAAGTGTGTCTGTGTTTTTCGATTCTCGCTTTCGCATTCTTGCTTTGTCGATTCCGGCAATTTCCCGATTCGTAGTAGCGCGTTTATAACAAGTGGTATCAGAGCCGCGGTTGGAAATCATGCTAGGGTTTTCTTTTCAGAAGAATGACGTCGGTGAACATGAAGATCGAAAAGTTCACGGGGAAGAACAGCTTCGCTATATGGCAGATCAAGATGCAGGCTTTATTGAAACAGCAAGGGCTGTGGGTAGGGATGGCAAAAATATCCGTAACCGTGGATATCCGCCCGAATCCGACCTAGTCGGGTAGGGTAAAACCCGAACCTGAAGGACATTTAGTGGGTACGGGTAAAACCCGAACCCGAATATTGCGGGTAATGGGTGGGCATGGATTTCTCACTATCCGACCCGAACCCGTCCGATTATACACATGCATATGTATTTTGTCTAGAAATAATCATTATTTTTCTCTAACATATTTTATATTTAGCATATAAATATAACATTTTCATAAAATTGTGTTGTTTTAGTTAATTTTCTTCATTCTAGTGAATTCTTGTCGTACTTTTTCTCTTATTTAATATAAGAATACGTGTGAATGTTAACATATTGGTTGGAGTTATGAAGAGAAATTAATATCCATGGATAACCGTGGATACCCGAAATCCGAACGGGTATGGGCATGGTTTTGATTTTCTACCCGTTTCACATGTGGGTATGGGTATGGGTAAAACCCGAAGTACTTTGGGTAGGGTAACGGATATGCACTATCCGCCCCCGACCCGACCCATTGCCATCCCTAGCTGTGGGGGTCGCTGTCTGCGAAACAGAAGAAGGCAGCGGTCGATGACGATGAGTGGAATACCCTGGAGGAGAGGGCCCACTCGACCATCATGCTATCGTTGTCTGATGACGTCATCATTGAAGTCGCGGCTGAGAAGACTGCCGCGGGCTTGTGGTTGAAACTGGAGAGTCTGTATATGACGAAGTCTCTAACCAACAAGCTGCATCTCAAGCAACGGTTGTTCAGCTTGAGGATGCAAGAAGGTACGCCTTTGAGGGAACATCTCGAACAGCTTAACTCTATTTTGCTGGATCTGCGTAATATAGATGTTCAAGTTGATGACGAGGATGCTGCCCTAATCCTGCTGGTTTCTTTGCCGAGTTCATATGAGAATTTCGTTGATTCTTTTATTGTTGGTAAAGAAAGCGTGTCGTTGGAGGATGTCAGGTCTGCTCTTCATATGAGAGAGATCAGACATAAGGCGTCCGGATCTGGTACAGGTGGTGAGACATCGGGTTTGGCTGTTACAGGTGGAAAGGGAAAGAAGAAATCTGGTAAAGGGAATTCGAGCAAGAATTCCAAGGGTACCGGTCCATAGCAGGTGATGCTTGTCACAACTGTAAGGAAGTGGGGCATTAGAAGTACAACTGTCCCAAGAGAAGAGGGCAACGGAAGAAACAAGGTTCAATTGCCGTGGCAGAAGTGGACAATAGTTCTGAAGACGATCTCACCTTGGCTGTAGATGAGAAGGC